TTGAGGAAGTCTGTTGATCACAAAGGATGCAGTCCTCATTGCTTCAGCCAAAAACATTCCAGGTACATTCTTTGCATGTAGCATACTTCAACAAATTTCTGCAAGATGTCAGTTTTTTCCTTCTCCTACACCATTCTGTTGTGGCGTGTTGGCACAAGTGTACTGATGACATATTCGACATTCCTTTAGGTATTGAGAGAACTCGTTTGATCTATATTCTCCTCTGTTATCTATGCGCAAGCAACATATCTTCTTTCCCACTTCTCCTTCAGCTGAGTCTCTGAACTCTTTAAACTTAGAGAAAGTGTCAGATTTTTCTTTTATAAAGAAAACCCACAAATACCTGGAGAAATCATCAATGAATGTTACCATGTACCGCATACCACTAATTGACTGTTGCTTAACCGGTCCGAACACATCAGAATGAATCAACTCCAACGGTTCTTTTGCATTAAACTTCGACTCGTCATATGGTAATTGGTGTGCTTTACCATACTGGCATCCCGCACAGACCGTGTCTGTTCTCACGTCTAGTTGAGGAAACCCCTTAAGCATCGACTTCTTCACCATCACACTTAGCTTGGAATAGCTAACGTGACCTAACCGCATGTGAGATAGATCTGATGTCTCATTTTTCCTTATCCTATCTACATATGCAGACTCTGCTGACATCACGTAAATTGACTCCAAACGTTGTCCCTCCATTGTTGGTGTTTCTAAGATGTTGACGTTACGATAAACCTTCACGTCTTGGGGACCAAATAAGACATAATGGCCTGATGATGTTAGTTGAGCCACAGATAGCAAATTTTTCTTCATTCATGGGACATGATAAACATCTTAGAGTTGCACCTGGTTAGTGTTATATCGAGGCGTAACTATTGTCTTACCGATGTGAGTTATCGGTAACCTTGAGTTGTCAGTTGTTACCACCACACAACCTCTATTGTACTCAGACAGGTTTTGCAACTTCTGTTTGTCACCCGTTATATGATTTGAGCAGCCAGAATCTACGATCCAATCATTCTTGTAGTCAATCCGTTCTGGTGTTGTTACCGTGAGAGCTAATTCTTCTTCTTTCATAGCAAATAACGCTTCAGCATCCCAACCACCTTCACTATTCTCCTTCAAACTAGAAGTACCAGTATTACTTTCAACAGGCTTTTTCTTGGTCCAATAGTCTTTTTCCATGTGGCCCATCTTCCCACAATTGTAACACTTGCCATCGAACTTTCTACCATTACAACGATTCTTGGATGCTCCACCTGAATGGGGGGCTCCATTTCCTTGGTAATTTTTCACCTTGTCACTATCCTTTTTAGATCCACTGCCAGTATACCGCTGAAAAGTGCCTCTGCTTTTGCTGGTGTAGAGCGCTTCCTCTTCACCCTTCAACAAGACTCGTCCCATTTGCTTGGCCATGGCTTCTTGACCTGCAAGCAAATTTTCAAACTCAACAAGCGATGGTTGTGTTGGCCATCCCTGTACAGCGGTAATAAACCCTCGATATTCGGGTCTCAACCCATGGATAATTATTCTTTTTATCCTGGCTTCCCCAATAGCAGCTGTCGGATCTAATTCTGAAATTTCGCGGCATATCGACTTCACCTTGTGAAAGTATTGGGCAACCACCATGTCGCGTTGCGCCATTGATAAAAGTTCATTCTCGAGAAGTTACAATTTTGTATCGTTCCTCTTCGAAAAGAGTATAACAAAAGTGTCTCATGCTTCCTTTGGTGTTTTAGCATCCCGGATGTGCTCCAATATTTATTCTTCAATTGTGGTCTTTAAAGCAAACATTGTTTTGCATGCTTTAATTTTCCACTTTCACAAGATGCCATTGGCATCTTCTGCCACCGGTTGTGTAACTTCACCACCACCGACAACCTCCCAAAGGTCTTGACCTTGTAAGTATGACTCCATACATGTTGCCCACGTGTTGTAGTTTTCGTTGTTGAGCTTCTTGATTCCTCCAACTACTTGAAGATCACCCATCTTAACGGCAAGGCTTTGACTACACCGAACAAGCTTGAGTAACAAACGTGCAGAGTACTAAATTACTCTAAACACAAAGAAGCTCCATAAGGTTTGTAATAACCCCGACAATAACTCAAGAAATATTTTCTGATGTGGAAGATCAGTTAAAAACTGCAGCCACAGAGCATACTTGAAATTTTAAGAGACCTTAAAAACGTGGTTCTGATACCAATTGTTGAATCAAAATAGAGTAAAAACTCTAATTGATTAAGAAGAAGAAAAACTCTCTTTAGAATAATCTCACAAAATTGCAAAAGGGAAGAACTCTTAAGAAAGCTTTCAAATGCTTATAATTAAGCTTTGATTGTTGGATGATAAAACTCAAATACAAGTAGGGTATTTATAGGTTACAAGAAACAATCTAAACCACTCATTAAAATAAGCACTAAATAATCTAAACCATTGAAATTAAAACATGAGAAAAATACTTAATTTTCACCTAACCAAATTGATGTAAGCAATGACATCAAAACTAAATTGATGTAGCAATGACATCAAATTAATTTAGGTGAGAACTTATTTAGGCTAATATTGAATTTTCAACACAATAGTGTTTACGAGTGTCAAGAAGATGAGTGATAGTGGTGTGCGATACAAGGTAATGAGTGATGAGGTGCTCAGAGTTGAGTCTCAGTCGAATAAAGGTATTAGGACTTAGAATGATGAAGGTATGGGTTATCGTCGATGGTCTTCTAGTAAAATGAAGTGTGACTCTAATGGAAAAAGTAGAGGGTTGTGATGCCCAAAGGAGAGCATAGATTGCTAGGATTGAGTTTTGAGTTTCACATTGTAGAAGGCAAAGAGGGGTAGGGCGTCGAATAATGAAGAAGATGATTTGAACGTATGTGGATCTAGGGGAAATGAAGTCACCGTAGAACCTAAGATTTTTGTTGGAAATCGAGACACGGAAAACACAACGAAAATTTAAATAAATTCGATTAATCCTAGAATCTCATGCATAACATACTAACTACGATAAAATAAATTCATGAGATCACCTTAATCTTTGGTTCCAAAAATCCTTCTGTGATGTCTCTAATCTTCTTTAAATATTTAAAATTGTTGTCTCTCTGAAAGAAGATCACCCTCTACAAGTATCCACACACGAAAGAATGACTAATGGTTATAGAATGCACAAAAATAGTTTTTGTAGTTTTGGATTTGGACAGTTGTAAAGAGTGATTAACCTTACTCTCGTGCATATAATATATATATGTATGACTTGATTAGGGTTAGGTTAAACTCTCGTGCACAAAAATAGTTTTTGTTATTTAATATTATTTTTTAATCAAATAAAGAAATAATAATAAATAAAATATTATGTCAAAGAATATAAATTTAACTTCTTAAATTCAAATAATAAATAACTCTTTTAAAATATAATTTAAAATAATCTCATTATCTTAAATTATTATTAAGAATAATAACAACAAACTTCTTATTCATTCTTAATGTGCAATCCTATAGGTTCAATTAACGTTCACAGTAGATAAAATAAAATTTGATCCAACAAGTCATAAGTGGCCTCTAGCAAGACATTATGATTACCTAAGTTAAATGAAAACCTCATGATCCAGTACAACCTTAACACAACTCATGTCATAATCCTTTTATCTCATGATATCTTGATAGAATATAACGTGTGGAAAATGTCAACCTTATATCACTCTATCTTCCGCTTCTAGATACCTAATTGAACTGACTAAACGATGACATTGATCTCTATCAATTCATTTGAGAACGATCATGCATTTCTCAGTCTCAATCATCGAGGGGCCTTGAGATATCTCTCTTATGATAAGAAGGATAAATTTCATCTTAATAACTCACATCTCACTACATTATTCATGTCATGTTCCAACATAACCTTTATAATTGTCCGATTAAAGACAACGTTTGATTATGTTAAAACATAATAATCATCATGCTGAGAACTATAATAATTTCAGGTCTATGGATTTAATGACATAATTGTTTGAAATTAATATATAACTTTAATCCATGTATTAATATCAAAACGAGTCGATCCAATATTTCTTCTCAACAAATACATATGGATTTGATTTGAATTTCATTCACATATTCATCTCATGAATATCTATCAAATTTCATACCAATCTTATTTTATTATTGTTCCCACAATAATAATCGATTACGGGTATTTTGAATAATTAACAATATTAACATATTAATAATAAAATTACACGTAAATGATAATGATAAAAAAAATAATCAAAATCTCATGTCCATACAATATATCTAGGGCATTAATTCTAACATTTTAAAGATCAATAAGTGGGTGAGGTCGTCGAGGATGAGTGTATAAATAAGTGCTTGAGAGTTAAGGTGTAGTGTTTGAGTCTATTATGTTATGATGATATGATTTGTAATTTTAGATTTTCACTTTTTATTCTAGTCCTAGCATAAATATTAATAAAATAAACCATGTCATTTGATTTAATAGTGGAATGACTAAAATAGGAATAATTAAAAGTTGAGTGATTAAATTTTAATAATTAAAATGGGAGTGAGGTAAAGTTGATTGATGATATTTGTAATTTACCCATAATTTTAGGTCTCCTAAAATTTGTGTCCCCTTGTGATGATTTCCAATTAATCTGAAAATGAAAATGATATGTGTCAAATGTTGGTGTTCCAGTTGTGAGATGAACCAAATAATACCTCACCCTATCAGTGTGTTCTCCGTTTTAAAAAGTTGAACGACATTTGAGACAAAATGAATAAAATAGATAATAATGAACATGGATTCACATGAAGCCAACGGCGATTGCATCGATACGATGCCAAAAATGGAGTTCTAAGGACTCAAATTCCAGGTAGACTCATCATTTCCTACACTAAAACTTCAGCAGAAAGCAGTGGCCGGGCGGTCAGCAGACGACATATACCAGTAACAAATACAGCAAGAAAGAAAACCCCCATGTAAACGGAGGCTTTCATTTGTTAGCCAAAATCACATTTTTCTGAAACTGTACAAGAAATTGCCTCGATTCGCCATGCTTTTTTTCTCACTCTTCTCTCCATATACGGCCAGTTACCCTCAACTTCAGCTCTTGCCTATCGCCACCTGAAAAGTATAGAGCTAGGTTCCTTTGGATCACTAATCCATCCTGACTGTCACGAACTTTCCTATGACTGTCGCGGATGCTCCTCGGAATCCCCTGCCATATTAGCTTACGGCCGTTTGCACCAACTTCCAGACTATAACTGAACTTCTTTGCTTCATTGTCATCGCCCATGAAACGTAAAAAGGCCATGTACACAGGTGCCATCCCAAGCTGGAAAGCCTCGAAATGCAGGCAGAACTGTCTTCCAAAACAATTGAAAACCTGCCCAAAATGTCAAAGAAACCCTTTTTAAGCACAAGATTTGCAGTTTCAAGAAACCTGCATAAAATGAACTTACAGTAAGCATCCATGTGGCGTTTTCAACTTCATGTGGATTTGATTTGACATATCGATGGTTGAAGGTACATCCATCATGCATGTCAACCTTGTGATCATCCTTGAGATGAGCAACTAGGGTAGGTATGTCACCTGTGATGGAGCACTCAGAGCCAGCATAAGGGCAGTTGTAGGGACGGAAGCGACAGTGTTGCTCATGCTTAAGCTTGCTGTAATAGGGGAAGATATCGTGGCAACCTAGGTTCTGGTATTTACAAGGGAGTTCCAACGATTCTGCAACTTTCTCCAAAGCTAAACACCTTATATTTCCAAGATCGTAGCGGCATGTTGGGCAACAGTTTTGCACTCTAATCTTGCAGTTGGAACACAAAGTGTGTCCATTAGGGCACTGAAACAGAAGATTGAATGCAAAGTATCAAAATTTTAAGTAATTGAGTCACTTTCACACTAAAAAAACGGAATGAAGTGTATGCATGCAGAACACACCTGGTGAATTGGTGGATACATCAGATTTGTACATACAGGACACTCGAGGAGCTCGTAAACACCGTTGTTTGAATGAATTCCATGTTTTCCAACAAAATTAACAGCGTTTTTCATCTTTGTAGTATTACTCTCAGTTTTTGTTGAAGGACTGTCATAATCTGCAACAGGGGAATGAGATTCAACAACTTCTTTGCAAGCACTGCCTCCGGGAGCCATTGCTACTTGTCAACTACTGCAATTATTGTATATTTATCTACTTTTGAGAGGCTTCGCTCTCTATTTCCCTACAATAGAGGATAAAGGTTAGTTGTCAACGGGAAGAACAACATATTATAAACATACCACTCTGAAAGCATTTTACTCAATCATATGCAGAACATCATTAAAACGAGACTGCTTTGGTAATCAGATTCTTTATTCAGTGGCTAAACTTTATGAAGAGTTCCTAACATCGTTCATTGATTTAGCAATAAAAACAAAAAATTTACTAGGTAGCATTTCCAAATGTGCTTGACCTTTTTAACGAAAAATCTGGCTACAAATTACAATCGTATTACATTCTGTCAGGGCAACTCAATATCCATGGCGATGATTGTTCATAAATGTTCCGCCTGGAACACTTCAATGTTCATGTAAGAAGACTTTTTCCTATTCATTATCTCTTGTTCTTCAAATTTCTAAAAGATGAAATAAAAATCTTCCAAAACTGTGATCAGTGAAACCAATATATAAACAGATAGAACCGGTGAAAAGCAACATCCTAATACGGAAAACGTTTTCAATCTTTCTCGTTCGGGATTCCAACATGTGGAATTATGTTCTATGAAAATAAGATTAAATGTTTTCCATGTTGGAGATGTTCACACAGTAGGAAAAGAAGAAGAAGAAGAAGAAGAAGAAGAAGAAAGCAAATGCATAATAAAAGGGATCATTCTTCCTCCAAACAATAAATTCAGACACCACAGACAGCAAGAACATACATGCATTGAAAATCGAATTCCTTTGATGAATGCTCTTACAACACAATTTGATAATTCCTTGTATGAATGCTATTATAACAGAAATTTGTTATCTTTAAGCAAACAAAAGGAAGGCCATCAATCAAATAGAACCCAGGTTTGCTTAAAACTACCTTATCTCATCACACGATCATCTAAGAAAGCAAGAAACATTCCCAGATTTTTAATGAAAATACTACCAGTTTCAATAAAATATAAAGATGAATAATGCAGGAAAGAACATCAAAAGCAACCAAAATGTGAGACAAGAATGGTATAAAGAACAAAACTTCCTCCAATTACAATCAAATCCACAAGTTTGAATTTGATATTACACATCAAGAAAAAAAAACAATATCTTCAAATTTTGTATCGTGGAAATAAACCAGAGAATGAGACAGCGAAAAGTGAAAGAAAACGACCCATCCACGCCCAATGTCAAATACCAACAAATTTTCCTCCATTTTCGATGCAACATCAAACTAAGTTTGAACAAAAACCAACTTTCCCACTCGGATTAATCAAAACATAAATCACCAATGGAACAAAAGAAAAAACACATAATTTTTCCAAGTGTAAAATATTACCAATCGAAAGAGAAGGAGAAAAAAGAAATACCCAGTTGAGATTTCCAAGCTAAGAATCTTAACACCTCATTAAAACAGCCACAATAAAATCTGGGTCGCGCTCTAAACGACGAAATAAATAAAAATAACAGAGGAGAGAAAAGAAAACCAAAAAAGACAGAATGCCAAAGGAGCAGCGAAACTTACGGGTTTTAAACCAAATACATAGAAAAAATAGGAGATTTGTTTTCCATCAAATGGTGACCATGTTTTTCTTTGCAAATGCAAACGCAACGCCAAACACGCATGCATACAAAAATATTTTGAGAATTTTGGCTTCTTCTTTATGGAGTTCTTCGGATGTTGCAAGTGGACCGACGCCTTAGGCGCACGCAACATTTGAAAATTCGATTTGTTCCCTTTTTTGTATATCATTAAGCTTAGGTCTTCCCTTTTCATTTTCACAGTTGACGTTGACTACAACTATTTTAACGATAAAAAAAACGTATAAATAATTCAAATTTCATCTTACAGTTTACTCCTTACATATTGCCATTAAAAGACCTTGCAAGGAAAATTCCTCCTTCGGTCCCTTAAAATTTTAAAAAATGTAAATTTATTTTGACCCTCTAAAAACAATATTGGCTCTGCACCTTCTCTAGTAGTTTTGGTTACATGATTTAAATGCATTGGGTTCAGCATCTGAATGTGTGGCTGCACTTATAGATTTAAAACATTCATGAAAGTGTACAATTAAACCACATTCTTATCTAATTGTATTATGTGTAAAGCTAGGAATTTCAGATTTAGTATTTGTATTTCATGTCATTTTATTTTTTGAGATATTTTCACATGCATTTATTTTTATTTTTACAGTCTTTCTATTTTCATATTCATTGCATTTCTCTTCTCTAGATAATTTCCATTTTCAAGGTAAAGAACGAGTTGCTTGAAAAAAATTTAAATACATTTTATGGCAACCAGGCTCTTAATTTCACTAGTCAAAAATTCTATTTGGAAGCTCTCAGCGCATTCTAGCCATTGGTGTAGTCCAAAGTCAAATCCGATATATTAATCAATTTTGACAAAAGTACCCTTAGTTTAGAAAAAGCCTGAAACGCCGATATGATATATTTTAGCGTAGCGGTGTTTGATAGTTGTAACTGGTTTAATGGAAAACATTTTCGAGCATTTCATAGTTGTAATTGATTTTTTCAATTTAATTCATTTTCATTGTTCCTTTGTATTTTCTGTAAATTGTTTTACCATCTGATTTGTTGAACTATGGTTTATAATATTTTGACATAATAAATTAAGTCAAAATGTTTTTGGACTTGAATTGAATTTGTTCAAAGTTTTCAAAAGGTTTCAAAAATAATTCAAAGTCCATTAAAAGTGAATTTGAGCACAAAATGCTTTTCTGGGTAAGTAGTACTGATATTGTTCTTACAATATCGATATTGCATGAACAGTACCGATATTGTTCATGTGGTACCGATATCAAAGGTAAGAAAAGTATCGATACTCTCGATGTAGTATCGATACTACCAGTATTGCTCAAATTCCAGAATGTAAAATAGGTATTGATACCCATGGGGGTATCGATACTACTTTATATAGTAGTATCGATACCATGAGCATTGTATCGATATTGTCAGGCCCAACGGCTAGTCTTTTATTTTAAAATAATAAAGAAAGTGTCGATACTCATTAAAGGAGTATCGACACTCCTTGTACTAGCAGTTTTATTTTGTAGAAAAAACATCTCCAACAGCTCCAAATCACTCCCAACGGCTAGAAACAGCCACAAACACATTCCAACATATAAATACAAGTTCAATACACTTGACGAAGGTTAGAGAACACCTATCCAAGCATTCAAACACAAGAGAAACGATTTTCACTCTTAAATTTCTTTCTCTTGTAAATATTAGTGTTTTGTGAGCTTTAATTTGTAAACACCTACCTTGTAAGAGTTTTCTTGTTTACATTTCCTTTCTTTTTGTAAAGGGGTTTTGTTTCTAGCTAAGCTTTGAAAAGCTATGGCGTTTGTAAAAGTTACTCTTGATCCTTGAAAAAGAAAGAACAAATTAGTGGATTTGTTGGAAAATCCTAAGTGAGGAGCTTACGTAGTGGATGTAGACTTTGGTTGAGAAAGTCGAACTATTATTAATCTTTGTGCATCACTTTTATATCCCTTTAAATCTTCTTACTCCCTAAAATTATCAAAAAGTCTATTCAACCCCTCTTGGCAATATTTTTAGTTGATCTTTGAGCTTCATTATAAATCACAACAATTGGTATCAGAGATTGACTCATTGGAAGATTTAACAACCTTGAGACGATCCTAGAAGAAGCTCTATCAATTTCCGATGCAACCGACGAAAAGATGGCTTGGACCTCCAGCTCTTACTACATTGAAGACTCTCAACCGGTCAACAAGCCACTTTATTTCAATGGAGCAAATTATGTCTATTGGAAGAAAATGATGATGCTCTTTATTCAAGCTAACGATCTAGAAGCTTGGAACTCAATCATTAGAGGATACTTCATTCCAACCAGTGAGATAAATAATTGGAGTGATGGAAAGAAGAAAAAGTTCCAACTCAATGCAAAAGTTATGCACATTCTATTTTGTGCATTAGGCCCAAATGAATATGGAAGAGTCTTCTTTTGTTCAAATGCCAAGGAGATTTGGGACAAGCTCCAAGCCACTCATGAAGGAACCGATGAAGTGAAGGGAACCAAGATTAGTCTTCTCAACCATAGCTATGAGAATTTCAAGATGAAACTAATGAAGTCATCAAAGCTATGACATATAGATTTTCCGTGATTGTCAACGATCTTAAGGGATTTGGAGAAGTAATCCCTAATGATAAGCTTATGAGGAAGATGATCTACTCTCTTCCAAAGTCTTGCCAATCAAAGACGAAAATGATTATCGAAGCTAAGAACCTCAAGCCACTCACTCTTAATGTGCTTATCGGTTCTCTTCTCACTTATGAGTTGATGGTGAAGAAGATGATGAAGAAAATAAGAACAAGAAGAAAGAGATAGACAATGCCTTCAAATCCACCAATGAAAGCAATCAAGATACAAATGAAGAGGTGGATGAAGATGATGATGAAAAAGAAGAGATGGCCAAACTCTTCAAAAAGATTCAAGAGATTCATAAACTCTAATGAAGTGAAGCATAAATCAAACAAAAAGAAGAGTCACCCGGTGTGCTTCAACTGTCAAAGAACGGGGCATGTAAAGTATGATTCTTCCCTCTTAAAGAAGAATGGATCAAGTAAAAATAAGGCATTTGTGGCGGCTTGGAGTGATGAAGATGACTCCAATGATGAAGATGAAGTAGTCAACCTATGCCTCATGGCCATCTAAGAATATTCAAGGGTATCTTCTAACTCAAATGAATTAAATTCATATTATTTTGATGAGTTACAAGATGCTTATAATGAGTTGTATTTGGAATTTGAGACCATGAATTCCAAATATAAGAAATTAATTTTGAATTTTAAAGTTGAAAATGATTTGATTTTGAAAGCAAAAGTTGATTTTGAAAAACAAAATGGAACTTTGAAAAATGATTTAGAGCTTTCAAAGATCAAAATCAATGATTTAGAAAAGAAAAATTGATTTAAAAGTTAAGCTTGAAAGCTTAATAAAAGAAAAATAACTAATTTCTAAAAATAACTCATTATGCTTAAAAATG